GGTCCTTGTAGCGCCAGGACCGCCGCCACCCCAACATCTTATGACGCCTCTCTTTTTTACGGGAACTCCTGCTCTGTTTACAGGTTCCTCCGCCGTGGGTCCCCAGGTGCCGCCAATATCTTGGTATCCGGAAAGCCCCGTCCATCCCTGGTATCACCGGGTGCCCCTTAGTAACCTTGGGGTCTCAACGGAACAAATCAGGCCGTGCGGACACCCAGGGAAGAGACAGCAGGCTGTGGAGTGGAACTTGGAAGAGACAAGAAGCCTTTTCGGAGCCTCGGAAGCTGCGCCAGGTCAGCCAAGGACCCCCAGCTTGGGGGTATGTTGGTTCGTCCCCGCGCCGCGCGGCTGCCCCCACCTTAGGCGGGCTTGGGGCTGAACCAGTGGCACATTTGGGGGGGGGGGCATTAATTTTGCAACTTGGGGGGGGGGGCTGAAGGGGATGGTTTATCTGAACGCGCAAAGGGCATCACTGCCCCAGGCACTGGTTTTAAAGTGTCTTCCGGGGCTCCAGCCTCACTCGGTGGCATCACGAGATCACGGCTGGGGATCCCTCATCTCCTGAAACTTGAGCGTCAAAGGGTGGCTTTCATCTAGATCGCTCTCCAAGGGCTTTTTCCTGGGAACTCCTGGGGAGCAGCTTGGAGAGTGAATTTGGAACCAGATCCAGCTGATTTGAGTCCGGCAGCCCCTGCTTGGGCAGCAAGGAGACCTCTCTTGGCCTCCGCATAGGTGCCCAGCAAATGTCAACCCTCCTTTTCCTTCCTTCTTGTACCGGAGGCGTGGGCATGGGAAAACTGAGGCCTAAAGAGCAGAAAGGCTTTGGCTGCCCTGAAACCATGAGTTAATTAGAATAGTGTGCTGCCCCCCGGCCGGTGTGGCTCGGTTGGTTGAGCGTAGTCCAGTGCATCAAAAGGTGGTGGGTTCGAATCCCAATCAGGACACATACCCAGGTTGCAGGTTCGATCCCGATCGGGGTGCGTGCGGGAGGCCACTGATCCATGTCTCTCTCTCTCTCTCTCTCTCTCTCTCTCAAAACAGTAAGAATAGTGTGCTGCTCAGTGAGCGCTGACTATGCTAAGATCAGATTGTCCCAGTCACTCCTCTGTGGTACCTGCTGTGATAGCCTGAAGCCCAGGGAGCTTAGGGGTGACTTGCTCAGTCACAGGCCTCAGTGGTTGTAGAGGCAGGATCTGATCCCAGTCTGGCTTCAGAAGCCAGGCTTCTGGCCTTTCCTCACTGTTCTCTGTTTTCTATGTACATGTCCTGCCCCTGCCTGGCTTGCCAGATTCTGTAATTAGGGTGCTAGAGTTACCTGCATCTGGTTAGGCTATCATCCTTGAATTTTCCTTGTCAAATCCAAGGTTTCCCTTCGATTCATATAGAATATAGTTGTAACCCAGGGTTTGGGACAATCCTGAACAGGCACTTATACGTGTACTTGGTACTAGATATTGTCCTAAGTGCTTTATAAATATTAACTCATTTAATTGTCAAATTAAGCCCATGCTTTGGGTTATACAGGGATGGGCAAAAGTAGGTTTACCGTTCGGAGTATGTGAAACAGTTTATTCTTGTATTATTTATTTATTATTTATTTGTATTATGTAAACCTACTTTTGCCAGCCCTGTTTTATTTCCCCCATTTTATAGATTAGGGGGGGAAAGGCACAGAGAGATTAAGTAACTTGCCCAACATCACACAGTAGATGATCAAGTGGAGTCACACTATTAACCACTGTACTACCCCCTCCTTCCTCTAATGAGACAGACCACATCCTGCTTCTATTCTCGTAAGGGGAGATAGCAATGCATAAACAAGAGAATTCTGGGTAGTGATAATAGCATTAACAGTGGTTTCTCAATATCACCTATTACAGTACTCAGTTCATATTCAAATTTCTCTGATTGCTTTAAAGATATCTTCTTGCGGTTGCTTGGTTTGGATCAGAATTCAAACAAGGTCCACAACTTGTTATGTGTTTTGAGTTGTTTTCTTCTAAAACAGTCTCTTTTTATGTCATTGACTTGTAAGATGATTCACTTTTTAAAAATCAATCCATTAAAGTAAAAGCTTACAAAAATAATCCAGAGAACATTACAGATGATCTCTGTAATAAAAGGGCTCAGTCTGCCCTAGCCGGTTTGGCTCAGTGGATAGAGCGCCGGACTGAAGGGTCCAGGTTCAATTCCAGTCAAGGGCACGTACCTTGGTTGCGGGCACATCCCCAGTAGGGGGTGTGCAAAAGGCAGCTGATCAATGTTTCTCTTCCATCGATGATTCTAACTCTCTATTCCTCTTCCTTCCTCTCTGTAAAAAGTCAATAAAATATATTTTAAAAATAAAAATAAAAAAAATGAAAGGGCTCAGTCAACACCTGGGGGAACACAGGGGAATGTGCTAAATGTACACCCCCTACCTTCATACCATGCGTGTGTTATTAATGAAAAGAGATGGTAATGAGAAGGTGGAAGGCCCAGACTGTAGGGCCCTCCAGCTGCCAGGTTCTATGCAAAGTATACTTTGAGGATCCCCAACACTCAGAGTTAGGGAAAAGGGGTTTATGGGTTATCTGCTCTAAAGTTCCCCCAGGGTAACTCTGAGCTAGGGGACTTGAGGCTCTTTTCCCAGACTAGTTTGATTTCATTTCCCACTAGATTCTTGCAGGCAAATCTGTCTCCTCCAGCAACATCTGGGTTGTGTGACTCCAGCCTCCTAGTGCCACACAGTTGCTCATAGGGCAGGCAGAGAGATGCCAGATGTGCTAGGGCTTGGGGTCAGCCACCTGTTGTGCCACAGCCCAGCACAGCTCACGGGGCGTGTGAGCCTCCACACTGTCACTGCATTGGAGGTAATTCATCCTACTCCCCAGCCTTCTGGTCAACTGGATACCACCTCAGCTGGGAGGTAGTTAGGCAGGCATCTCTCTCCCTGCAGTGGAGGCTGGAGCAGGCAAACTGTACCCATGCTTCCTTAACCAACTAAAAAGAACTGATTTTATGATTCCCAAAGTAATAAAGTTTATTGTAGACTATCTGGGAAAATGCAGCAAAACACTAATAAGAAAAATCAATACTTATAATCGGGCCATAGAAAATAATCACTAATATTTCGCACGCATCCTTCCAGATTTCCTCTTATAAATACACATGCTTGTGTAATTGAGATATAATACATCAATG